ATAACTAAGTCAGATTCGTTGATGAAAAGGAAAACTCTTCAGGTTATATCGGGGGTGGGGGCGAGTAGCTATCATATAAAGTTTCTTGTAATTTCTGTTTAATCCTTATTTCATTTAACTGATGGCATTTTATGTACTTGACCGTAGTGAGTGTTTTTCCAGGGTAATGGGGTGGTCTTGTATCAACTTTTTAACCCGGATAAAATCAAAAAAATCAATTTACTAACATGATGTTGGTTTCCGCAAACTAGCAGTGCATACAGGTTGATTCCCTAAGCATGCTCACTCACCCCCTTTTCCATCAATAATATCGTTAATTAAAATCTGTTTTTTGAATTCTTAAGTATACTTAAGACCATATTTTTAAAGTTTTAAATTTTTTTTAAACTACTTAAGGCTACTTGTCATATAGGAGTAAAAAACTTCTGTTTTATTTTTTAATGAGAATCCCCTAGTACTACTGTCAAGTCAACTATATATTTTACACTGAATAATTTTTTGTAAATATTGACGTGTTAATATTATAATTTTAACGAGCAGTCCACGATAGAATAGATTTGGAAGATTTTTGAGTAATGGTTTGAAAATTGTTATGACTCATACCTATTCTATCAACATTTATAATTTTTAAAAATGGTCAAATTATAATTAACACTAGATACAATATTATATATATATATAATGTACATATATTATATTTTTGTAAGACTATTTTCATAAACTTTTATACACATATAAATATCCAACTGAAAAAATACTCGTTACATTTTTTAAATAGGAACATCCAAATCTTAAAAACAAAATACTTCCTTTATAATAATTTATAGTAAGTGGAGGAGGTCATTCAAAACAGAAGTGTACATCGTCATAAGACACTTAATTAAGTTATAGAAATGAAGTTCAAGAATTTGAAAATATGGCCTTTAATTCGAATATTTATAAAATCGTAATTAAATTAAATAATGTGGTTGAGCATTTTACTTGGTGATCCAATATTTATATATTGGTATGCATATTAATAATAATTTACTATATGGGTAGTTTTACATTGTACAAACCGTATATCATTRTAAATTTCTAGCGCAAATTTTATTATTATTATGGTTCATATCGAATTCTAAATAACCACATAATCGTCAAAGATTTATTACTATACACAATTTGAAGTTTTCAGACAGTATTATAACTATAAATATTAGAGTTTTTCAACCACCGATACTACCTATAAAGAGCACTTTAGAAACGGTAATGATAAAATCAAATACACCTATACATAAGAATTTATTTTTGTTCAGTGAGCGCAGTGTACTTCAAAAGTATACTAAACTTCACGGTAGTTGGACATGTTTTAGAATAGTAACGACTTCCCACTCAGTAATTGAAAACTAATTAAGACTTTACGATTTCCTGAATTATATTATAATTGAATATTATTCGAAAAATTTTTACAATGGATAAAAATAATATATTATTTTAATTTTAGATTCGGTAAAACGCGTTTTTTAAATTGTTGTCTGCATATTTTTGCAATTATGAAAAATAAAATATTTAGAGATACAATTTAAACATAAAAATTCGGGTAAGTCGTAGAAGTCGCTCTGCTGTACAGTAGGTTACAAGTGGGTTACTGTAATGGATGGAATTCAATTTGAATCACATGATATTATATCGGTTGCATCCGAAAACCGCACACTTTTGATTTTGACCCGAAAAAGGTCAATAGACAAAAACCGCACACTTTTTCGGTCATTGTATAACAAAATACCCCAAACTTATAGTGGTTAAAACCGCACACTATTTTTAGTGCTAACTAACGGATTAGATAAGATAAGATTATAAGATATACTGCAA